ACATGTTCCCACGTTTTTAGATCATGGGGATCATGTCCTATCAGTTGGGGGATGTCAACTGAACATAGGAACTACTTTTGGGCTAACTACACTATATATATGTGTGCTAGTAGCCTTAAAAACGGGCTGGAGTACCTAGGGAGGGAAATAGTCTTGCAAACAGGCATAGGGTTGTCTATTTTATGGCTTGAGCATGGCAAACGGATGTGCCATTGCCTTGCCAAATGAGTGGGCAGCATGATACATCTTAGGCAGGGGCTTTTATAAGGCAGGATCATGCAAAAGTCGGCTATTTTGTGAGTTGGTGCGGCCAAAGGTGGCAGCGCCTTAGCCAAACTCGAGAATTTCCTTTGTATTGATTTATATAAAAGGTTGGGAAAGGGGTTTCCCGTAAATCTGCTTGTCTCCTTTATTTATGTTGCCTTACATTGATTCTAAGTGTTAACCTCGAAAGCGAAATGAAAATCGGGCAAGGCTGAAGTCAAGTTGGGACTTGGCTGCCGCACTGACGGGCAGAATTCTAAGTTGCCGCATGGACGAGCCATATTTGGGAGTTTGTGATGCAGAAAATTTCGAGTCAAATAGACATAGGGTTGTCTATTTTATGGCTTGAGCATGGCAAACGGATGTGCCATTGCCTTGCCAAATGATGGCAGCACGAGTAGCCTTAGGCGGGGGCCTTAAAATCGTGTATTGTCGACTTTTTGTGAGTTGGTGCGGCCAAGGGTGGCAGCACCTTGCCGAACTCGAGAATTTCCTTTGTATTGATTTATATAAAAGGTTGGGAAAGGGGTTTCCCGTAAACCTGCTTGACTTTTTTATTATTCTGTTGCCTTAAAATAATTCTAAGTGTTAACCTCAAAAGCGAAATGAAAATCGAGCAACGCTGAAGTCAAGTTGGGACTTGGCTGCCGCACGGATGGGCAGAGTTTTCGGCGGACTGAAAACGCCCCCGTGACAATTGGTATCAGAGCTTGGTCGGGTTCGTGACGAGGTCGGGACAGCCATGGACGAGTTTTCAAGACAAGGGGTCGGTGATCTTGTTCGTGGAAGGGACTGTCTTGGCTTAGAAATTCAGAAAAGGCAAAGAAGGCAGTGATGCAGAAAATTTCGAGTTTGTGGGTGCCAAAAATCAGCATGGGTTCTCTTTCAAATCAGTCAGTTGGCGTGCTGGATTTGCTGTGGGAATGACGGACAAGAAATGCTTTGAGAAAACAGAAACGTTGCACTTGAGGGCAAGGACAACGTGATTTTCAAAAAGGGGTGCTGAACTTGTGACGTCTAGGCAAAAACGGACAGAATGTGTTGGGATTTATTCGACGAGGACGTCGAATTCAACTGGTCTGGGTGGTTTGTTAGACCCCTAACGAAGCTGGTCGGCGAGCGGCACGGCAGTGGCGAGGATTTTGGCATGATGGCCTTGCCATTGGCCTTATGTGCGGGGAAAATCAACATGCAAGACGACGCGGGTGTTGTCGATGGCAACAAGCTGTTGCAAGGGTAAGTGTGACGGACTACGCTAATATTTGGGGCCTTTGGTGTGACGGACTACATCAAAATATAAAGGGGCTGTGTGCAAGCAAGGCCATGGACCTTAGCGGAACTAGGCGGGCTGAACGGATGCTTCACAAGGTAAAACGGGAAAGACCTCGGCGCTAAAATGATGAATCTTAGTGCCAAGGCAGTGGCATTGGCAATGTGGTATTGCCATGGCTTAGGTGAGCGGGCTGGCACCTAAGTTAAATGTGTGTAAACGACTTGGCAAAGGGAAGGGCATCAAGGCTTGGTGACTTGTCGCTAAAATCAGCTAGACACGGGCAAAGGCAAACAAATGTGCAATGAAAAGGCAACGTGCGGGCAGATTTGGCATGAGGTCGAGTTGCGGCAAACGGGCCAAGTTCGTGGGCAAGGGAAAGGCAAATTGGAGCACAATGCACCTTGATACAATGGCATTGATGCTGGTCCAAGCCAAGCCACGAAATTGGGGCAACAACAAAGGAATGGACCAAGTCAAAGGCGGTTACCGGCACATGCTATGCACATGGGAATCGGTTGAGTTTTGTCCAAGAAGTTGCTGATTTTATGGCTAAGTGTTTGCACGTTTTGGGGCATGTTTTAGACATGTTCCCACGTTTTTAGATCATGGGGATCATGTCCTATCAGTTGGGGGATGTCAACTGAATTTAGGATAAGTTTTGGGCTAAGTACACTATATATATGTGTGCTAGTAGTCTCAAAAACGGGTTGGAGTACCTAGGGAGGGAAATAGTCTTTCAAATAGGCATAGGGTTGTCTATTTTATGGCTTGAGGATGGCAAACGGATGAGCTATTGCCTTGCCAAACGATGGCAGCACGAGTAGCCTTAGGCGGGGGCCTTAGAATCGTGCATTGTTGACTATTTTGTGAGTTGGTGTGGCCAGGGGTGGCAGCACCTTAGCCAAACTCGAGAATTTCCTTTGTATTGATTATATAAAAGGTTGGGAAAAGGGTTTCCCATAAATCTGCTTGTTTCCTTATTTTTGTTGCCTTAAATTAATTCTAAGTGTTGAACCTCGAAAGCGAAATGAAAATCGGGCAAGGCTGAAGTCAAGTTGGGACTTGGCTGCCGCACGGATCGGGCAGAGTTTTCGGCGGATTGAAAATGCCCCCGTGACAATTAGTAATCCTAACTCCAACTGAGGATGAAATGGTCAGTTGGGATGAATCAAAAGAGGAGGGATGCAAAATACAAAGATTGTGTTTTTACTTGGCACAAATCCCAGGAAAGAACAAACTTCTTATTAGTGCAACAGAAGGAAAATAAAAAACTAAAGGTGATAGTGAAGCAGGATAAAGTGTAAAATAAAAAATAAAAAAAAATTAAAAAAAAAAAAATATATATATATATATATATATATATA